CCCCAAAACCCCAAAACCCCGAAGGCATTAGTAAATGTAGAATTAATTGATTTGATAATCAAGAAATATATTATTAATAATAAATAATTTATTTTTAGATTCTTAATATTTATGGACAAATCAAAATGCTGTATATTATTATAGCTCCTTTTGGCTTCAACTGCTTTTTCAAATCTAATAAATATTAATAAGACAAATGAAATGATAAGTAGGGATAATTAGAATTTATAAGCAAAAAGCACCTTTAATATTAATTCTCAAGAGCGAGAATAAAGATAATTAAAGGTAAAATCATGTCCTCCAATTGAGACTTTTCACACACCTAACTAGACAGTCTTTAATTACTACAGCTAAATAAAAAGAATATACACAGGAAATATTCAACCATTAGAGGAGGAATGCTATCTTGCTTTTTACTGCAAGGATGAAAAATTTAACATGATGTCTGATGAATTCTTTAACATAACTGTAGATTTTGAAGGTTACATCATGATAGAGATAGATAACAAAAATGACAAATTATATGGCAATTATTTTATTGAGATGAAAATGGTTTATTTGCCAGCTGTTGAGGTTGAAACATACTTCTTTAAGTATTTTGTCCAATCAAAAGAAACTGATTCTAATGTATATAGACCTCCTTTTATCTTAGATTAGACTTTCATTTATTCTAAAATAAATGAGCCTGATCACTTTAGATTAAATTTTGCAGATTTCTGTTTCTTACATAATTGTGAGGAGGTTACTCAATTAGACATTTAATTTGAGTGGAGAGGAAAATTTGAATATTTTTAGACTAGAGTAGACTTTAATTATAATAGTCTTTTCCTTGAAATATATCTAGAGCCTTCAAAACCTGGCTACTAATAATTTATAAGAGCTTTGCTATTGGTAAAAGGCACCACAATAAAAAGTTAATTCTAGATTTAATTTGTTGACTGTTGTGCTTTTATAAACATTCCTGAATTATAGTATTCACTTCAGTTCAAAGGATATCCTTTTTATGAATAGAATTTCATACCAAGTACTTTTGCCAGTCATGATCAAGGAATTTATTGCACCCATTATTCTTATTATACGAACAGTAAATTTTAATAATTGTACTTTGGCTTGAATGATTATTCAAACAATTAGATACCCTCATAATTTCTTTATGATCAATCCAAGCACAATGCTGAAACTGATGTTGATATAGGTTTAAATTTATGTGATAGCTAATATTAAAGATTGAGGTTTATTTTCATAGACTGTGATGAATCTGGCATTGTTAATAAAGGAAATAACATGAAGCTAAACTATATTATTGGCTAAAATGGAACTAATTCGACTTATGATCCTTATACATCACAATATTGAAGATGTCTGGATACAAACTTTACTGCAAGTTACAAATTTAATTCAAAAACAATCTTATCTTTGCCTGATTTTATTGAATTAGATTTGCTCTCTAGATTTGTCAAAATAAATAAAACTACTAACTAATCTTTATCAGGTATTTATAAGATTTTCATTTAGAAAGAAGGACATATAAATATATATCAGGAATTGACAATTAATATCCTAAGCATAGGAAATTGTATTCTTAACTATTCCTATGAATATTGCTAGAATGAGAGAAAATTTTTTTATCCCCCTACAATTTAAAATAATGCTTTTTGCGAAGAAATTGGACCTCTTGTTGTATAGTCCTAACCTTTTAATGTTGATAATAAAGGTGGCATAGTACTAAATGATACAACTCGAATACTAAAAACTTATAGTTGTGACTATGATGCCATGAATGTGTATTATTATAAGGTTTATCATGCTCATTACCCAAAGTAAATATCTATTTGGACTGTTTCATTGATTGGATATCCTGAATGTAAGGTAACTTAACCACCAGATATTAATCTTAGATTGAATACAGTAATTGGAATATATAAAGTCTAATTTAGTGGATTTAAGCCGAATTATTATGTTTGTGATTAAAATCCTCGAAAATATTAACTCTTAGATGAATCTCAATAACCTGCAAACATAAACTTTTTTTTCTTAGACAGCTCATCTTAGTAAATAACATTCTATTTGAAAAAGACTGGTTTCCCAGTAAATAGAGATATTGTATTATATTTATCATGGGAAAAATATCCAACTAACTTAGTTAAGGTCAAAGTAAATGTTTAATAAGACAAAAACTAGCTTTCAAATGATACTGAGAATTTGTCAGAAGAAGGCTAATAGCGAGAAATAGCATCTCTTGGTTTTGATGTATCTTTATATATTAATCAAAAGGCTGGAGTATAAAATAATGGTAAAGGATTTCAAATACTATATAATAATGCCACCATCTCAGAGATAACTTAATAAGGATTAATTAAGATAAAGTTTTCAGATAGTTTAAAATTTACAGATTAAAAATTTTATTCAATTATTGAGTCCAAAGCTTTAAAAGTTAAATACTACCCTAACTAGAATAATCAATATTACAACCCAAGTCTTTTTAATTGGAAACTAATTCTTATTGAGGAAAAAATCATATACATTCAATGCTACTTTAACAATACAAGATATATCTCTTATGATGTAAGTACAATTGGAATATTCTTAAAATATTGAATTAGGGGTTTGATACAGTAACAGTTAGAATATAAAATCCCTTTTATTTTATGAGTAAGGATCAAAAGAAGCTGTCGGGTCCCAACTTTTTCCTATACAAGTATATTCCACCATAAGATGGACCTACTGGTAAATTAATATAGCATTAAGAAATAAATAGGAATTGGGAAACCCTTATAGGACACTGCTGTTATATCAAATGAATTAATTAGATGGTCTATCGTTAGCATTTTGATATTTAGAATCTTATTCTCTGCCTCTATGAAATACATTTGGAGCTTAATTAATACACTTTAGATGATAACTCATTTCGCACTACTTAAAGTGCAATTTCCCAAGATATTCATTTTAGTGATGAAATGTGTTATTGATATTTCGAATGGTAGTATTATTCCAAAGTCATATATACAGGAAAAATTCTTTATTATAACTGATAATAGCTATCCAAATTTCAATTTAGTTATTCTTGATATCTTTTAATTGCTGTTGTTATTATCCTGTTTAATTTTATTAACTTATGAAACGATATGGATCGAAAAATTTTATGGGAAGTTTAGGATTAGTTGCTCTAGTACTATTTTCGCTATTGGTTATTTCTGCTTCAATTCTCTTAATTCATAGATTAACCCAAAAATCTTAACTGTAATTATAATAGCATTTGATTGTTAGTATTTAGAAAATAATGAACATTTTAAAAGATATAATCTTCTTCAATCCAATTATAAAAGCTTTTATGAAGATATATTTATCATTATGTACAGCTGCATTACTTTCTATATATGATGTAAGAAAGTCTAGATTATTTATATCATTTTAGATGGATAGCTAGGATTAAGAAACAAATTCTATTGTTATGTCATTTTGTACACTAGTTGGCTGTGGTATTATTCCTGGATGCTTCCTCTTCTTACTTTTAACTAACTAAAGACTTCTTGAAAAAGCTAACTTTAAAACTAAATTTGGTGTACTATTTGATGATTACAATTAAAACCTAAATAATATTTTGACATTTCTTTTCCTCTATTTTTGGAGAAGAATTTTCCTTGCATTTTGTATAGGGTTTCTGAGTAAATTTCCAATGCTATAAGTTTGGCTTTAGCTTTATTAAAGCTTTTTAATTTTAAACCTTTTAATTCATCTAAAGCCATATCGAGATCCAATTCAACAAAAGTTAGAGATTTTTAATGAGGCAACTATTTTATCCGTAAACTATTTTATGCTTAGTTTGCTAATAATTACAGACCTTGATTTAAAATAAGAGATGGCATTTTTCTTTATTTCAATCATCTTAATGAACATCCTAATTAATTGGGTAGTATTTTTCATAAATCTTGCACTTTTTATAAAACTTTGATTGAAAAGATTCTTTGATTTAAGTAAAAAGAGGAAAAATATTCTTCGTAGATAAAACTATTTTATTGCGGTTTAAAATAATGAGAGTAACATTAGTATAGAGATTAATTCAAATCATCCTAAAAAATTTGCCAACACTCAGAAATTACTATAAAGCAAAAACCTCTTGAATTACTAGCATTAAAAAATATTAATTAAAAATCAATACATACAAAAAAGTCCTCTAATCAATAATTCAAAAATTTAAAGCAAGAAAAAGCAGCTACCTATTAAATAGACAAATAAAAAACAAAAAGATTAAAAAATAAATTTTCCTTTGAAAAGTGATCAGAATTTTTAGTCGTCCTTTAATTCTGTGAAAGTTATTATGAATTAACATCGTCCTTAAAGCTAGCAAAAAGTTAAGGAAGAGTCAGGATAATCTTTCTTCGATCCGATAAATGTTTCAGATGATTATGGTATGAGAAATTCATTTTATAATAAATTAGAATATGTTAATAAGCGAGACATTTGGTCCTAAATTAAAACTTGATTTTAAATGTACTTCAAAGATAAAAACATGAAATTTATTATAGATATTGATCATTTTAATTTTAAAATTTAAGATTTCCTAATTTAAATTGATATTAGAGCTAAGGGGTTTTGGGGTTTTGGGG